ATACATATTTTTTTGTATTTGTTATTTTTTAATTTATGAATTTATAAATGCACATTTTCCCCTTATTTTAACATGAACAAATAAAAATTCTCTTATTTATTTATTTAAAAATTCTTAAAAATATGTTTAACATATATTTATATACCAATAATTAAAGGTAGGATTTATCTATGGTATTAGTTCGTAAAAAGGTTAGAAGGTTGGTAATCACTATAAATTATTTTTATTTAAATAGATATACATTGAATGATTTATATGTTTTACCTAATATGAAAGATATATTTCAGACATTTTGTGGTATTAAATGTTTTCCGAAGATAGACCTTAAAAAAGGATATTGGGACGTAAAACTAGGTGAAAGTAATGATCAACACATAGAATTTATAGAACCCAAACATGAAAGATTTGTATTTAACATATTATCACTTGCATTCAAAGTTGGTCTTATAAGTTACAAATAGTAATTAAAGATATCTTCATGAATTTAATATAAGCATATGTAAACCTTTTAAGGTACTAAAAACTGTATATGTATTACTTATTGGTAACAATTTAAAAATATATACGAAAAAATGTGATTTATTAATCGTCTATTCGATTACCTTACTAGTATTAAAAAAACAAATTAATAAATAGCATGTAATCTATAAATTATATTATCAAACTGTTTTAAGTAATATTTAATAAAATAAAATAAGTAAAAACATTTTATTTAGAGCATTACAAAATAAGTGGAAAATATGAACATATAAATGTGTATACTAAAAAAAAAATATATATATATATTTGCACGAAAAATACTCTAAAAAAAAGAAATAAATAAAAATATTTCTATAATATTTTTTTTGTGTACTCATAATTATATAAGAAAATATATTTTTTTTTTTTTTTTTATTATTTTTTTAAAAAAAATATGACATCTTAAAAAAAAATATTTTTTTTTCTTTTAAGGACTAATATGGAGATTATTTTATTTTTTTTTAAGAAAGATTAAAAATGCAATATAAAATGTGGTACACATGGGATGTTCTGTAAATCAATAACAATATTAATTAACTAACATAATTAATGTTTTATATTAATTAATAAAAAATGAATAATTTAATTTATATCTTAATTTAAAAAAAATAAAAATATGTAAAATTCTCTTTATATGATCTTTATTAATTTGTTTGTTAGATACTAGCAAAAACATTGAATGGTTAATTAATAAATAACTGAGTTGAAAAAGAAATTTAAAAAAAAAAAAAACTGTAACCTTAAGGATAATCATATATTTTTTTTGTTGATGATGTGTAGTATAATTTTTTATGTGTAAGAATTAAAAATATTATGTTAATATTATATTTTATAGCGTGTTGTGTAAATTAACTCAGTAACTATTGTGATTCACATTTGACAATTACAAAAAGTAAATAATTTGTATAATAATTTATTTTATCATAAGTAAAATAAGTACAGTTTTCTCTACATGCTTTTTATTAATTTTTTTTTTGTTCAATACTAGAAATATGACTAATAAAAGATTTCATTTACCCTTTTAATAATTTATAGAAAGATAGAAGTTCATTTTAGAGCAATGTAGTTACATGCAGAATAATTAAAAAATATATAAAGAGATATATATATGAGAACACTTATAATAATTTTTACGTGTACAGATATAAAATACAAAATAGATTATGTTTAAAAGGATATCTTCATAGATGTAGTATAATTATATTTGTATAATATATGTTATATTAGTAATTTACTCATAAAAAAAAAACATTATATATGCATTTTTATTTTTAAAAAAAAAAGAATGTTTTATTCTTATTTATTTTTTTTTTAGGAGAAGAGTAAATATGAAACTTTTTATATTTTATATGAAAAAATACTAAGACGTATGCTAAATAGAATGAATTTTATAATAAATATATTAAGATTATTATGAATTGATACTAGTATAATAGGTATATAATTATATACATAGGTTAATTTTATATTAAAAAGAATAAGTAGATATCATTTTACAAGCTCTATATTAATTTAACTATTTAAAGCACTATAAAAGTTATTATCTAACAAATTAATAATACATAATACCACTGAAAAGGAAATAAAAAAGTTATTACATTAAAAAAAAAAAAAAAAAAAAAAAACAAATATATTTCATTTATTTTTTTTTTATTATATCTATTTAGAATTATAAAAAAAAATATTTTATTTTTTTTTTCATTTTCTAATAGAAAAAAATAGTATCATTTTAAAAAAAAAAATAATAATTTTTTTTTTTTTTTTTTGGTGATGCAATGGATATTATTCTTTTTTGCATGAAAAATTAAATAACATAATGTTAAAAATTACATTTGTATTGTATAAATTAGCTTAAACAAATAAATAATAGAGTTAAAATTTAATATTGGTTAATAAAAATAAATGATTTATCTAATGATTTATTTTATTCTAAATAAAATAACTATAATTATCTTTAAACTTTCTTTATTTAATTCATTTGTTCATCGTAAGCAAATTGATTATACAAGCATTTAATAAATCAATATTATAACAATATTATTGAATGAAAAATTATTAAATCAATAACTGAGCATATAGAAATGTTTAAGATTATTTCTTAAAAAATATTCAAAAAGAACAATAATTCTATTTATTACTTCTAAAACTTTTTCTATTGTTTTACAAATTTTTCCAGTTTCTTCACGTTTATTTTTACCACCTATACTCTATATATTTTGCTTTTTTATTCGTTATCTTCATTCTTTTATTAATAAATTACTGATGTAAAACATTCTTTATTATTTTTTTCTATCCACCTCCTAAGAATATCTTCACAGTGTTTTTTCCATATAATTTTTTGCCTTTCTAACATGGGATTTCTAATTCTGTCCTCATTCTTTTTTGCTATGATATCTTTATACACTTCTTTCATGAATTCCCTTTCTTTGTTTTTCATTTCCAATATTAATTCTATAAACCATTTCTTTTTTTTCCATTCTTCTATTTTCTCTTTGTCATTATTTAATATAATATTCCTACTTTTTTTTTCTATTTCCAATATGTTAACATCCTCATCTAAATTTTCTTGTATTCTCAATTCTTCGACCATTTTTTTAAAAAAATATTCTTTTTCATTTTGCAATTCATCTTTCATACATTCTTCTAATAGCGTCATATGTATTTCTATCAAAACATTTTGTATCAATTTATCCCTTTTTTTTCTATTTTTCTCTATTTCTTCATCTCCTTCTTGTTTCAATTCCTCAATATTTTCATGAATTTCCTTCGATTCGTTCTCATCTTTTTTGGTTATTCCTTCCTCACGTTCTTCTTTTTCGTATTCGTCTAATAAATTGTTAAACCAATCTTCCTCGCTATGTAGTATAAACCATTTTCTTTGTTTTTTCAGCCACTCTTTCCATATTCTTTTTTGTTTCTCTAGCATAGGATTTTTTCCTGCTTCTATTTCTGATATTTCTGATTTTCTTAATTCATCATATTTTTCTTGTTCTTTTCCCCATTCTTTTTTCAAATTAATAAACCATTCTTCATTTTTCCATTTCTCTGACATTCTAAACTTTAAACGAAGATTAAAGTTATTCCAATTTTTTTTTACTTTAATATTTAAATTTTTGTTACAAATCAGTGCATTATAATTTAGTTATATTTTTGAAGAAATATATATATATAAAAAAAAAAAAAGCTAAAATTAAAATTAATAAGTAATGCACTTATTTTATCATTATAACTATATTAATCTTTTTGTTTTTTTATTAAGCAATTTTTATTTGGTAATATATATATATGTACTTGACATTCTTTGAGATATTTTCTTATTATTTTAGAATTTTTTATTATGAATACAAGAAAATTTAAATTCTTTTTTGATTATTTTTTTTAAAATTATTTCTTATAATGTTTTTTGAAAATAAAAATAACAATAGTTTATTAGCAAAAATTTGTTAGAAACAAGATATTATTACATTGAAAAAAAAAATGAATGAAAAGTGTGAGATGAATTTATGAAACTTGATTTTTCTGGATAAAAAACAAAAAAAAAAAAAAAAAAAAATAAAATTTATCATTTTGTTCAATTTTTTTTTTTTTTTTTATATTTATATTTTTACAATATAAATTATATAATTACTTGAATAAAAAAGTTAATTATGTTTGAAAATTTATTGTCAAAAATACTTCATAAATATAGTATCAATATATATATATATATATATATATATATATTTATATATCATGTTTATGTCTTAAATTATCAAACATAATTAACTTTTTTATTCAAGTAATTATATTTTTTTTTTTACTAATGTAAATAAAAACCAACAACATATAAAAAAAAAAAAAAAAAAAAAAAAAAAAAAAAAAAAAAAAAAAAAAAAAAATTTAAAAATTTAAAAAAAAAAAAAAAAAAAAAAAAAAAAAAAAAAAAAAATCTTACTTGATATAAGAATAAAAAGAGTCCTATGTATATATATATATAATTATACTTTTCTTCTAATGGATCAAAAAGATACATAAGAAAAAATGCAATTGTTGAACACAAAAATCCTAGTAAAGTTAAGAGGTTAGCTGTTATTGACTAAAAAGAAATAATAAATTATATTTATAGAAAACAAAAAAGAAATTAGAAATATTCATAGTAATAAAAATTATGTAAATATGTTAAAGAAAAATGAAAAAAAAATATATTACTTTAGGTACAAAATTAACACATATGCTCCAATATACATTAAAGATATTATCAAGAATAGAACCGCCACTACTTTTGTAAACGTAAGATTTACAGTTCGAGTAGACGTTTTTATTCAATTTTAAAAAAATTCCCATTCTAATATATATATATATATATATATATTTTATTATATAATAATAATATAAAAAATAGTTGAAAATGGTATCTTTAAATTATTTGTATTTAATTTTCTTGACTTCCAATAAAATATAGAAATTTTTAAACAGTTTTTATATTTTAGTTATTTTTTGTTCTTTTTTTTTTTTTTCAGTATTCTCTTTTACATTTTTTTTAAATACAATAAATAATGTTACATTAGATAAATTTTAATTTTTTAAAAAAAAGTAAAATTTTTATATTATATATATAATATAAATAATAACAAAAAAATTTTCTATAATATAATTAAATAAAATTAAGAAAATTAAAAAAATTTAAAAGATGAAGTAGATATAAAATATGAAAAAAAATAAAAATTAATAAAAAAAAAATTATTTTTATTAATATTTTTTAAATTACATGAATAAAAATATTTACATATAAAAAAAAATTTATTTCCACTCCATTCATTTTTTTTTTTTTTTTTTTTTTTTTTTTTTAAAAAATAGGTATAAAAATGATGTTATAATATTATTATTTATAGAATTATTAAAATTGCAATTATATAATATTCATTATATTAATTATAAAAAATA